TCCCAAGCAGTAAGGTGAAAGACGGCATGGGGAGACTTCAAAACATTGTATTTGTTGGAGGAATGGAGTTGGTGAGAGAAAGTTGAAGGCTAGATGAGGCTAGAAAGTTAACTGAAATTAGGTCAGAAAAATCCTTCAAGGTCTTGTGAAGAAACTTGGAGCTTATATCATATGCGAGAGGAAGTCTTTGAAGAGTGTCATTAAATAGGTAAGTGACAAGGTCAAATCTTTCTTTAAGATAAATCACTCTGGTGGCTGTGAAGAGAAAATATTTAACTAGAACAAGAATGAAGAAACACCGATGGGAGATCAGAGCAAATGCGAGAAATATTTAGGAGATAAAAGTAGCAACAGAATGGTGCCTAGAAGAACAAATTTAGAACTTTATGTGAGTTCCCACAGAGCTTTAAAGAGAATTCTACTGCAGCACTTATAGTATAATAGTTATATTTTTGCATCGAGGTCCCTCCATGATGCAGAGTTCTTTTAAGATAAGTACTCAGTGCCTGATACATAGTACGTCCATCATAAATGTTATTTAAATGTAGATGGGCATAAATTCTACCACGATATTATTTTTTGTACAGAGAGAGTCTTGGTAATAAAAGTCTTTAATCTTAAAAGTTAAACTATCCTGGTAAAACTAAATGTACTGAATTTTGCCTATATGAAGTCAATGGAATGAGGCTTTACCTAGCAATTTTCCCTAGTTTTCTACCAGTAAATAAATATAAACCACATAACCAAGTGCTACAGTGGCCATAAAGCAGTAATTAAAAATATATCCTGCTGTCTACCATTATAAGGTCGGAGAAATAAGACTTCATCCTCTGATTCCCCAAAGCTCTAAAAGAGTTAAATTTTAGTAAGACCACCTTACTTTCTCTTTAAATCCTGTCTTCTACCTGTTTAGAGCTGTGTACCAACGCAGTCCTCCACAAATCAGCTAAACCAGAACTCTTTACCTGTAACCTTAATCCCATCACAAAGGGTGGGGGGGAAGACATCAAAAACAGAAAGCAAACTAAAGCAAGACTCCACTTCAAATGACCAGCTATAACATATCCTAATAAGGATATTGATTTTGGACAAAAATTCGAATGGGAAATTTTTAGTTTGTATACCTTCTCCAGCATTTCATTCTTGTGACTCAATCCTTGGTACTGAATTAGCTTTTATGTGAATAAACTCTAGGGGCCATTTGGCAAAGAGCAATTTAGCTTCTAAGTTGCTCTGTTAAACACATTTATAAATATCATTCTTTGTGGAACGATAAACATACAGCAGGTTAACCCCAGGTTCAGACCCTCTCTGGCCTTTTCAAAGCTGGTACATTTGCCTAATTTTAGGCTGCCAATGGCGACCTACCAACTTATTTCACCACTATGTCTGTTACCATGGCTAAGGATGGACTGACCTCAAGATATTTGGAATAGAACTGGCAAACACTGTATCCTTGACTGACATTTCTATTTTCAATCTACTCATTGGAAAACGAAAAAGGTTAGAGCCTAGTTTTCCAGCATGTCATAAAATATTTTTCTCCCCAGCTCCCAACAGGTATAAGAAGTGTTACTCACTAAGGAACTTCACCTCCATTCAAAGGACATTGTTCTTTGGATCTCCTCGCACCTACGTAAACAACTACTTTAATTTTTAGGCGCTGTACCTGGCAACTGCGGTAGGCAAATGAATGCTCCTTTTAATGGAACAACTATTCCATTTAACCAAAAAAAGAAGAAAAAAGTCATAAGCAAATAAGTAAGGAAACTGCAGCATTTCAAAGAAGTGTACTATGTGGAAATTCCTAATTCTGACGTACCACAGTATTCACAAAATAAAAACAAAAACCTTCTGTTACCAAATATTCAACTTGTAAAGAGGACAAGTATAAGACAGATACTAAGCATTTGGGTGTTAATGTATGCACATGTCTGAACACGGTGAACAGATGCCTCAAACACTTTAAAAATACAGAATTTTCTACTGGTAGTGTTTCTGTGAACCCAGTACCCTTATACTCAGGAGTACTGAATACAGGCCCCCTTGGAGCCTGTCAACATCACTGTGTAGCAGCCCAGAAGGATACTGCTGGGGCACAGTGCAAGGTATTTTTTTCTATTTTGCATTTTCTTTACCCATGGTAGTGGAATCTGTTATCTCAATTAAGTACAGATACTTCTCATTCAAAAGTGAAATTCTATAACTCATGGTACAGTTGATAAGATCTCTAGACTACATTAAAAAAAACCCAAAAAACAAAAAATAAGACCTTGCTGAGTTCCCTTATCTGTCAGTGTCTCAGTTTCCTCATCTGTAAAATAAAGATACTAGAAAGGTTAATTTCTCAGGTAGCTTTCCTGCTCTCCATTTCTGATTCCTAAAAGATGGTAGATTGCAGCACAAGGCAGCCTCCAACAGTGATGGCTTCAGGCAGAGAGAGAAAGAGACAGAGAAAGAGAGAGAGACCGAGAGAGATACAGAGAGCAAGAGAGAGAGAGAGAGAGAGAGAGAGAGAGAGAGAGACGAGACAGAGAGACCACAGACAGAGAGAGAGAGAGAGAGACGAGACAGAGAGACCAGAGACAGAGAGAGAGAGAAATAGAGAAAGAAAGAAAAGGGCTTCTGGAGCACTGAAAGAGCTGTGGTAACACCAGTTCATCGGGGTCCTCGACTTTTTCCCAGGGAGAAACCCCTCTGAGCCATCCCTCTGGTTTTGCTTTGGAGCAATGTAATTAATCTACCTACAATTCTACTAACTGATTAAACAATAAATGGAGATAAGGCCACAGAAGTGAAAATTCACAGCAAAGGAGGACAGATAAATCACGTGTCATAGATGAAAGTCATAATTAATAGACAATAACCACCATGGATCAGGAAAACATCAGAAAACAGTCATTTCTATTCCATTTGCAGTTAAAGAACTTTTGGAAGGAATCAAAATTAAAAGAGAGTTTGGTCATTTAAAGAAAAATACCCAGAAAATTCACCAAACAGTATAGTGCATTCTGCAAAATTACCATGTAAAATTAGGTGGTGTTAAACTTAAGAAACTATATCTGTCCTTCTATTTATTTATTCTATTCACTTTTTACTGCATCATTTGTTTTGTTCCTTTCTAAAACACCTCTCCTACCAAGAAAAAAAGTACTTCAAATGATCCCAGATAAGGAATGACATACGCTGAGGAAAATACTCTTCGTGCTAGAAATTAAAGCAAAGGAAAAGGGAGACAGCAATTAAATGCAAGTATAGAATTCTCAAAAATACAGAAGAAACTTGACCACTTCTAATGGTGTTTTTCTATTTTAACAGATACACAGATATTCAATTTAAAAGAACTACTAACTAAAACCTTTAATTATCCAAATATATTATTAATAACAACACTTCATATTTAGCAAAAGAGAACAGAAGAAAAAGCAGAGGAACTGCTCTTTAGCAGTATTTATTGAACACCGACTGCACACTAACAAGGCACTAGTGTTTACATATGTTCTCTCATTTAATCGTCATAGCAACCATCAAAGGATTCTCATCCCAATACTGTAGATAAACTGAGGAAAGTTAAGAAACTCACTCAAGCTTAGTAAATAAAAACAGTCAGCTAACCTAAGACCATTCAGGAAAGTTAAATATGTCCTCCAATACATAATCAGCATTGCACATAATTAGCCCCAAATACAAAATCCTATAGCATCAAAGAGATGAATGGTTGTTCAATATCCTGTAGCAATTATAGAAAAAATACATTCTCATACATTTGATTCAATAAGAGTTTGAATTTTTAGACCTTCAGACTTCAACTCACGTGCTAAAATTTTATGACTTACTTTCGTATGCAATATTGTTTGGTCCTAATAGAAACAATTGGTATTTTTAGATACAGTCAAGAATTTATCAAAAAGTAGGTATGACAACCCTCCACACCTAGAACATTGAGAAATGTACATTGTGGTTTAACGTACATGAACTTTTTTAAAGGGAAAGAATGTTATTATTATCTATAATAATTAAGACACTAAACCTCATAACAGCTTAAAGAACCCAAATATCTATGTAGTATTTAATAGGAACTGGAAGCGGAAAATTGTGCTTAATTCTGCACAAACTTATTCCTTAACATTTCATATAGGAGAAGCTATGAGATCAACAATGTAAACTTCTAAGAACATGAAGACAACATTAAGGACCCCCATCTTCTTGTACTCAGTTCAATACTGATGGTGTAGAATACAGCTACACAGAAGGAAAGAGCTACACATCTCCACGCGGAATCCACCAAAACCAACGAGATGTTTAATTATGCTTCTGCAGAGAAAACAGTGTCCCACAAATATTCATGCCTGCCCAGAACCTTGGAATGTTACCTCATTTGGAAATGCATCTTTGCAGATGTAGTCAGTTAAGAATCTCAAGATGAGATCATCCGGGATTTAGGGTGGAACCTAAACCCAGCGGCTGGTGTCCTCACGCGAACAGGAGAGAACAGAGAACCAGAGGGAAGGGGCCCACGTGAAGACGGAGCAGAGACTGGAATATCTACAAGCCAAGGCCCAAGGCGAGCGCCCGGGCGGTTTCTCCCTCAGGGCCTCCCCACAGAAGGAAGCAAGCCCGCCGGCTCTCTGACTTGGGACTCCCGGCCTCCTAAACTGGGGACAAAATACATTTCTGTCGTTCTAAGCCGCCCAGTTTGCGGTCGTTTGTTACGAAAGCCCTAGGAAATGATACAACTTCTCACGTCTGGATACAACCGCTGAGTTAATCCATTTCACTATCACAGTAAAGCAAACCACAACAATACACATGCAAGCACTCTGAAAAATAAATGCTGTTTAAATGTGTGGTGGCACTGTAACAACATCATCATCATCATCGCTACTGTGTTAAATCAACACATTATATATAATACTAATCACATTTTTTTTAAAGGTGTATACCTCCCCCAATACTCTCACATCAGGAGTCATCTTACAAAAAAACAACTCTCAACTTACACAAATGAATTTTATAAAAGTTTCTCCAGTCCGTTTTTCAAAGCAACTTGAGTATAGAAGCCAGAGCGGCCTGCGATCAGCAGCCCCGAGCCTTGGCTGGACCACCAGCTCGAGGCTCCGATCCAGCCACGGGATCCACAGCATCAGCTTTCCCATCCACAAAGCACAAGCCCAGCAGGACTGACCATCTCTCGAGTCAACTGTCTGGACTACTGCACACACGGTGTCCTTCTTCCTCGTAAATAAAACTAAAACTCAAATTATTTACGCTGGAGATACCCAAACTGCAGAGAGGGTGAGGGTGGAAAATTAAAAATTTCATGACCAAAACGGGGGAGAAAAAATTAAGTGAAAAGGTAAATATTTCAGCAACTAAACTAACCAATCGATTTCTACCAGCAGAAGTCTTTTTGGCAGATAAGCAACATGAAAAGGAAGGGGCGGAAAACATGACCAGTGACTGAAGCAGCAAGCTGAGCTTTACAAATTACACTTAGTCATGACTTGGCTGCACGAGTGTCAGGAGACAAACAGCAACCAGCACTCGCTGTTCCAAGAGCGGATGTTAGAGTCTGAGGCTTTAGGTTTCTCCCTAACAAGTAAGAACGTTTTCAGCCTCAGGGGAATTTGCAGAATCCATGAAACAAAGCACTGTGATAAGTGTGAGGGGCAATTCCTCTGACAAGGGTGGGGAATACGAAGTAACAATAATAGAAATAACTCTCACTGAAGGTTCCCCCTGTGTGAAGCCCTTCGCGAACACTTTACATATATCATCCACTAACCTTCAAACACATACAAAAGACAGTCTTCATATACACGAAGAAAGGGAAATTCAGAGCAGGTAAGCAACTTGTCCAAAATCACACAGGATTTTAAGAACAAGCCTTCAAATCCCTGCTTTCTACTCCGAAACCTGTGTCCTCGCTCCCCGCTCACACAGCCCGCCTCGAGAGGCAGCGGCTGGGACTGCACGGGGGCAGGAAGGCCTGCAGGGCTGGCCACCCTCTCCTCAGCCTGAGGCCCGTTCTACCAGCAGACCACGAACAGCACTGAGCACAAGCAGGCGCTCAGTTTGTAGAAACTCATCAAGCTGAACGCTCGTAACCTGAGTGGCTGTCTGAGTACGTGTTACACCTCAGTAGGATCAATGCACACACATGCAGACAGGGCCTCTCGGCAGGAGGCAGGACTCTCCGACACACTAACCAACTCAAAGGTCAGGGGGGAAGCGACTCCAAGGGCCAGGGCCCCATGCCGGTCGGTGGCTGTCTCTTTTTCCCCGTTCCTGACATACTTCGGTGCTGTCTCACTCTCTTCTTCGCCCACAACTTTCTCCACGTTGTGGTAACACACCTAGAGGCTGCTCCAGACTTTCATCCTCTAGCTCCTTGAAGAAAGAAGCAAGAGAGTCTTTCCTATCGGCTCCAGTTAAAAAAAAAAAGTTTGTAGAAAGACAATTGGATTGTCAGATAAACCTGGACCAATCACGGTGGCCAAGGCAATGAGGTGCCATCCGCCTCCTCGGCCAGACGGCAGGAGGAGCATGTGCAGCAGAGCCGCAGACACGGAAGAAACTGCTGAGCACCAAAGGCACTCTAACTTCTCATCTATTGGACTCCACGTTATACGATACATTACGATTATTATTCTGAGTGAAACTTCCTATTTATTGAACAATTCATAAACCACTTTAAAAAAGCTCTTTAAAAACCATATTTAAAGTTGATTTACTTCCACAAAACCCTGTGAGGCACACGGGGAAGCATCACCATCCTGTTTACAGAAGAAGGAACAGGCTCAGAGAGACGAAGTAATGCGTTCAACAATACAAGTTGGTAAACGTCACAAAATCAGACACAAGCGTGCTTTCAACCACACCTTACTCTAAGGCACAGCAGTTCAAAATTACAGGAAAGATTAAGCGGTACATATGAGAGCACGGTTCAAGAAAAAAAAAAACTTAAAAGAGAAAATGGAATAAGCCCCTTTGTCTGGGGCTCAGTATTTCTATTTTGGTAGATCTTAATCTTCTTTCTACTACTGGAACCATCCAGAGCAAACAGGACTGTCTGGGAAACCACACCCCAGCAGAAGGCACTTCTTGTGTATCACTTAGAATGCTCACAGCTGCAAGGAAACAAAACTCAACTCCAAGTGACTGAAAGAATAAAGGGGTTTATTATCTCCTACAGTAAGAAGTTCCAAAGTAGGACATTTCCAGAACTAATTAATTCCATAACTCACAAAGTCCCAAAAAACTCAGGTTCTTCCCATCTTTCAGCTGTGCCATCCTCCACCTGCTGGTAACATCCCCTCCGGGAGCAAGTTCACAAGAGCTTCAGGCGTCAGGGCCGCTCCCACCAACAGCCAGAGACAGGAAAGAGACCCTCCACCTTATTTCATTCATTCACCTACATTAAGTTACTTAATATATGGAAAGCCCTTACAAAATGCCTGGCACATAATAAATGTCATATAACTTTTGTTATTATTATTACCATTTTTAAATCATTAAACATTTATTTGTAAAGATTTTCTTCTATTTTAACAGATGCGTTTTTTAATTAATTTTTTATTGGGGTGACCTTGGTTTATAACATTACATGAATTTCAGGTGTACCTCATTACAGTTTGATTTCTGTATAGATTAGATTACGTTCACCACCCAAAATCTAATTGCCATCCATCACTGTACACATGTGGCCTTTTACTCCTTCTCCCCTCACCTTTCCACAGCCCCGCCTCCGCCCACCCAGGCTTCCCCTCTGGTAACCACCAATCTATTCTGTGTCTATGCGTTTGTTTGTTGTTGTTGTTTTTATCTTCCATGAGTGAAATCATACTCTCCCTCTGACTTATTTTGCTTAGCATTAACACCCTCAAGGTCCATCCATTTTGTCCCAAATGGCAAGGTTTCATCTTCTTTTGGCTGAGTAGTATTCCCTTGTGTATACCACATCTTCTTTGTCCATTCATCCACTGATGAGCACGTGGGTTGCTTCCACGTCTTGCCTACTGTGAATAATGCTGTAATGAACGTAGGGGTGCATATATCTTTTTGAATCAGTGTTTTCATTCTTTGGATAAATATACAGAAGTGAAATAGTTAGGTCACACAGTAGTTCCAGTCCTAATTTTTTGAGAAATCTCCATACTGTTTACCTTAGTGGCTGAACCAGTTTGCATTCCCACCAGCAGTGTACGACAGGTTTCCTTTTCTCGACATCCTCTCCAACACTTGTAATTTCTTGTCTTTTTAATAATAGCCATGCTGACAGGTGCGAGGTGATGTCTCATTACAGTTCTGTTTGGCATTTCTCCAATAGTTAGTGATGGTGAGCATCTTTTCATGTGCCCGTTGCCCATCTGTATATCTTCTTCGGAAAAACGTCTGGTCAGATCTGCTGCTCATTTTTTAACTGGGTTGTTTTGTTGTTCTCGAGTTGCCTGAGTTCTATTGTTATTGTTGGGTCTCTTTTTAAGAGATGGAAGACTTTCCAGAAACCTTCATGCCTCATCAGCCAGAAGTGGAACACATGCCCCTTTCTAAGCCAACTGCCAGCAAGGGAAACAGAATTCCCCAACCGCCTGAGACTAGTCAGGATTCACCCCTCTGAGACTTTAAATACATGCTCCCTGGAGGATAACGAACTCCCCGACAATGTAGAGCTTCCTCCACAGTTCTGGGTAGGAAACCCACTGTGCTCCATCCTCCGGACATCCCTTATCCCCACAGCACTAAAAGGACCGTAGTTTGGAGGTGGCTCAGGGTGTGCTCCACCACACAGAGAAAGTATTCTGCAGAAAAATAAGCAACTCTAGGAAAGGGGGGAAGGAAAAAGGCAGACAGACACATCTGACAGTGCTCTGGTCTTGGGATTCAGTCAACTCTGAGGTAAGCTCCACCCATTTGCATGGTTTAGCTTGAAAGCCAATAAATGTCCCCTGTTTTGCTACAGGCAGTCTGAGTTGGATTTGTATTACCTGCAAAAGAATCCTGCCTGATAAGGGTATAAAATCAATTTGCATAAATCAGTAGCATTTCTATATTCTAATAACGAACTAACAGAAAAAGAACTCAAGAACACAATACCATTCACAATCACAACAAAAATAATAAAATACCTCGGGATAAATTTAACTAAGGAAGTGAAGGACCTATATAATGAAAATTACAAGGCCTTTCTGAGAGAATTGGATGACGACATAAGGAGACGGAAAGACATTCCATGTACATGGATTGGAAGAATAAACATAGTTAAAATGTCCATTCTACCTAAAGCAATCTACAGATTCAACGCTATCCCAATCAGAATCCCAATGGCATTCTTTACAGAATTAGAACAAAGAATCCTAAAATTTATATGGGGCAACAAAAGATCCCGAATTGCTAAAGCAATCCTGAGAAAAAAGAACAAAACGGGAGGCATCACAATCCCTGACTTCAAAACATACTACAAAGCTACAGTAATCAAAACAGCATGGTACTGGTACCAAAAAAGGTGCATACATCAATGGAACAGAATTGAAAGCCCAGAAATAAAACCATACATCTATGGACAGCTAATCTTCGACAAAGGAGCTGAGGGCCTACAATGGAGAAAAGAAAGTCTTTTCAACAAATGGTGCTGGGAAAACTGGAAAGCCATATGTAAAAGAATGAAAATTGACCATTCTTTTTCACCATTCACCAAAATAAACTCAAAATGGATCAAAGACCTAAAGGTGAGACCTGAAACCATAAGGCTTCTAGAAGAAAACGTAGGCGGTACACTCTCTGACATCAGTATTAAAAGGATCTTTTCGGACACCATGTCTTCTCAGACAAGGGAAACAATAGAAAGAATAAACAAATGGGACTTCATCAGACTAAAGAGCTTCTTCAAGGCAAGGGAAAACAAGATTGAAACAAAAAAAACAACCCACTAACTGGGAATAAATATTTGCAAGTAATACATCCATCAAAGGCTTAATATCCATAACATATGAGGAACTCTCACAACTCAACAACAAAAAATCAAACAACCCGATCAAAAAATGGGCTGGAGACATGAACAGACATTTCTCCAAAGAAGACATACGGATGGCCAATAGGCACATGAAAAGATGTTCATCATCGTTGATCATCAGGGAAATGCAAATCAAAACTACACTAAGATATCACCTTACACCCGTTAGAATGACAAAAATATCTAAATCTAACAGTAACAAATGTTGGAGAGGTTGTGGAGAGAATGGAACCCTCATACACTGCTGGTGGGAATGCAAACTAGTGCAGCCACTATGGAAAACAGTATGCAGATTCCTCAAAAAATTAAAAATAGAACTACCATACGACCCAGCCATCCCACTACTGGGTATGTATCCAAAGAGCTTGAAGTCAGCAATTCCAAAAGTCCTATGCACCCCAATGTTCATTGCAGCATTATTTACAATAGCCAAGACATGGAAGCAACCTAAGTGCCCATCAATAGACGAATGGATAAAGAAGATGTGGTACATATATACAATGGAATACTACTCAGCTGCAAAACAGAACAAAATCATCCCATTTGCAACAACATGGACGGACCTTGAGGGAATTACGTTAAGTGAAATAAGCCAATTAGAGAAGGACAATCTCTGTATCACTCCACTCATATGAGGAATTTAAAAATGTGGACAAAGAGGACAGATTAGTGGCTACCAGGGGAAAGGTGGGGTGGGGGGTGGGCACAAAGGGTGAAGTGGTGCACCTACAACACAAATGACAAACATTAATGTACAACTGAAATCACACAAGATTGTAACCTATCATTAACTCAATAAAAAAAAAAAAGAATCTTGCCTGATACACAAAGGAAAATCTTAAACGTGACTAACAGCACAGGTTGTTGGAGTTGAAAGGAGAAACTTCATACTTAACCATCTGTGCAACCTTGGGCAAGTTACCACTCTGGAATG